TATATATATATATATATATCATAATAACAAAAGCAGAAGAGCAGGCGTCATACCAGTTCCTCCCCCGATCAAAAGGAAGTCAATGTCCAATTTTCAATACCATAGTAACGCCCAGGGTCATTGTGGCTCCTCCTTGTCCATCTCATAGCGTCTTGAAGCATTATCTCGTAATATCGTGCCGTGAGACACCAAAAAGCAGCCGCAGCCTCTGGTGTCTAGAAGAATAAAATATCGGGGCGCATGGGACCTAGCCGCCGCCGCCGACAAGCTTCGACCTGCACACCATCAGCCGCTCGCGCGCTTCCTTGAGCAGCTCCGAGTGCGCCTCGGTCAGTATGTTGTGAAGACAATCCAGGAGGTCTGGTAGACCGGATGCTAGATCCGAGGCCGTCCCCTCATCGAGCTCCAGGCGTCCCGCCACGTTGGAAAGATAGGACATGACGTTGTTATAGTTGGCTACAGGGTTGAACGACGGGGATTGAGGGACGGTCCCCGTACCACCGTTATGGACCTGGTGGAAGCCGGCGGCGTGATGCTGCTGCGGCTGCTGCTGCTGGATGTGGGCAGTAGACATAGGGACGCCGTGGAGCTCCCTCAGCGCACAAACAAAACACCATATGCTGAGGGTAGCGTAGTACATAATCCAGGGTCGGTGGGGGTCTGGCTCGCTGCGGCACGAGTATGTCGCTATCTTTATCGGGGGTAGGTTTATCAGCCCCGGGCCCGGCGCTGCAATCCTCCGCCGCTCAGGTCGACCCGGCTCTACAAGCACGCGGTGAAGCAGCTTGAAGGCATGGAGGATGGCGTGCCTCGTCGAGGGCATGGCAGCCCACGCCTGCATGCGCTGCCCGACGTTGGCGTAGTCGCGCCGTGACACCTTGCGGCCTAGGAGCTGCCTCGCCCCCGCGTACACTTGGCAATCGACAATGTCGGCATGGAGGCTGATGTGGGCTAGGTGGTAGAGCACTGGCGCGCTTTGTATGAGCCCGTTCGCGTCGGCTTGGGGCCGGCTGAGGTTCTGCGCAATCTCGAAGGTGCCCTGAGCATTGTCGAAGCTGGTTTTCCACCGATCGAACGCGTTGAGCAGGACCTTGCGCGAGTTGTCCACGGTCTCGCCGTTCGGCGTTGTGAGATCCAACCACTTCAAATGCGTCTCGCGGCGGCTGAGATGCCAGCCAACGCTTAGTAGACCCGACATGATGATCATGCGGCCGAAGCTGTGAGTTCTCACCTCCTTTCCGTGCACAGCGCGCTTGAGGCCGTCCAGGAAAGATATAGGCTTGACACCATACATGCGTAGGTTCGCGTCTAGCTGGCGCATCTCTTCTGGCTTTGGCGCAGCCCAGAGATTATCGTCACAGGGCAGTGGCAGGCGGATCTCATGGGGGGCCATATCTGCGGCGTGTCCAAACATGGCGGCATGCAGGACATCCATCATGAACGCTGCGAAGACGACGCGGTGCATCGACTCCGTTTCGGCCCAGCGGATCCACCAGCTACGAGAATCTTGGGCGGCTCCGTGGGAGTGCTCGGCCGACGCATGGTATTCAGGGGGCGACTCGCTGCCAGCGCGGCCAATCAGCGGGCTCCCTCGACGCAGCAATGTCAGGGTTGCCGAATGGTATATGTGAGCTCTCTCGTGGAGCTTGCGCGATGAGTACAGCTTCTCGTAGAACTCGAGGAGCAGCAGGGACTGGGCCACCGCAAGGCTCACCGGAGGCGTGGCCTCCTCGGCCGTCACGATTTCCCACCGTAGCCCCAAGATGACAACATCGGCGAAGCATCCATAGCCGGCCAGCGCCCCTGTGCTGTCCCTGCTACGGAGTGAGGCTGCGCCCAGAGCCAACATGACCAGCAACAACAGGGTAGGGCAGCGGTTTGCCGAGAAGGTGGGCTGGTGGATTATAGGGAGCCGAGACGACACATGGTCCCAATATTCGCGTAAACAATCTCTCATCATCTCCAAGTTGAGGACGGGAGTGTCGCCGTTCTTGTCCATAGCCAGATTCATGGAAAGAGGTTCTTGCAATGGGTATTTGCGGCGAAACGCCTGGAACCAGCGCAAGACCTCTTGGCGGCGGAACTCTGCCAGCAGCTCGTCAGTCTCGACAGGCCCTGGTGGGGTTTCCACCTGTGACATGCTAGTCAGGGACTCATAGTCGTAGGGGATGTCGGTGTTAAACTGAGACTCCAAGCCCCCTTCCAGAAAGGGCAGGTTGGCTACGTTGAAGTCTCCGTAGTTGCTCTGTGCGTCGAAGAGCCAGACGGCGAAGTTATCGCGGCTCATGGTCTCTTCGGGCATGTAGCCCCAAGTCGCACCGGAAGGCTGTGGTGGCATGTTTTGGACTTGGTGGGGGAAGAAGGCAGGCTTAGGCTGCATCATATTGTTGGTCATAGAGATGGGAGGTGACCATCCTGGCGGCTGCGTGGTTTGCTGGGGGGTAGGGTCCCGGACGAATCTTCCTGGTAGCTGAGCTCCGCTTGACTCAGGTGTAAGGAGCGGAGGCGGTTCGCTGGGTATCACAGGAGATATCTCCTCATTATTTACACTAGTGGACTGTGAGTGACTTGGGTTGTTGGCGGTTGGAGAAGTTGACAACACGTCGGAGCCGCCAAGGTGGTCCTGCACATCGGAAGAAGGCCCGGAGCCAGGACCGGGACCGGTAACGGGACTCCCATTACTAGGATTTGAGTTAGGGGCGGAAAAGCTCCGGGCGCGGTGCCGCGGAACATATGAGGGCAAGTGATGGCGGCTTCTGTGGCGAGCCAGCAGGTCGGCGCGCACAAAGGTGTGGCCACACCCCTCGTCAGTACACGTAAAGACCTCTCGAGGGTTGTCTTGGGTGCTGTTAGCTAGCCAGTCATGGAACCTGGTTGTGAAAAAGCCAATACGATGGGCAGAGAAAAGGAGGCAGCCAGAGTGCCGACATGGTAACGGTCAAGGCGTGGCAAGAAATTTACTAGGCAAAATTGACCGCGGTTCCAGCGGCTTGGGCTCTGCTGCGCCTCGGACCCGAAGAACCCACTGCGCACGGCCGTCGAGGCAGTGGAGGAGCAGGCAGGAACCCTGATGACTGATGGGATGGTGGAATTTGGGGGCATGACAGGCCAAAGAAAAAAGAAAGCAAGAAAAAAAAAAAGGCAGAAAACTCACGGTTCAACTGGTGCCGCTGCAGGTGCTCGGCGCGCGTGTACAACCGGCCACAGCCATCAAAGTCGCACTGGAAGCGGCGCGGCGCCCCCCGCCGGCTGGCACGCCTGGGGCCGCCCGACGTCGCGGTAGCCGACGTGCTCCCGTCGCTGCCGTCGATGCTAAACGTGGTCATCATGGGTCCCTGCATCATGGGCGACCGCGGCGGCGGCTCCACGGCGCGTGAGGCCATGTGGCTGTGGGACGGAGCGGCGGCGGAGGAGGAGGACAATGAGGATCCGATGAGGGCGGCGGTGGGGGAGACGGAGGAAGGGAAGCAGCAGCGGTCGGCATATCTCGAGCCTGTTGCTGTCTTGGGGCCATGTGCCTCTTGCGCCCTGCTCCTTCACTTCCTCTTCCTCTCGCGCCCTGCTAAGCGCTTGGCCCGAAAACGTCCCAGTCCTGACCAGAAGAGGGGAAAAGGAGTACTGTGTGGACACGAGGATATGCTCGCGACAGGACGAACCGTCGAGGGGTTATGGATAGAGATAGTGGCTTTGGATAGGGCGCGATGGGCCAGCAAGGCAGTGGGAGAGAAGGAACCGAACTTGCGTCTGTTCGTGCGATGAACACGGCCCTCGGCTGGGGTAAAGGCGTGACCAACTTGGGGGATTGGGGGTCTTTTTCTGGGGGAGCTGTGGGTAAGTGGCCGCTGGGCATCGAAAGCCTCCAACGGGTCTCGACTGTCTGCCCGCGCCCAAGCCCTCGGTGCGGCGCCCCGGGTTCCCAAGCCGGCCTGTCTGGATGTTTGGGCCTGGTCTGGTGGATGTAGACGCGATCGTCCTTCCCTCATCCGTGTTTTTCTTTGTTCCTTTTTTTCTTTTCTTTTTTCCTTCCCTTCTCATTCTCCCATCCTGCCCCCAATCCCACTTGCAGCGACCTGGGCCTCGCCCCTCCCCCCACGTGGGGATGTGGGGGGCACGGTTGGTCGGTTGCTGCCTTTCGCAATCACCCATCGCCCCTCGCCCGAAACGGGTCTTTCCCTCGTTTGAGTAAGGCGCTGGTGTCTGTCCTGAACTAGCACGAGCTCTCTGCCCGGTCTGATATGCAGCATGCTGTTGTCACGCAGAATCAGTAAGTGCCACTTGGCCTGCCTGCCTGTCACACATGGACGCATGGATGGCCACACCGTTCATGGCAAGACAAGAATGGTTTCCTTGGTCAATGGCGTCCTTCAATCCCTTGGTGCCTGCCCTGTCTTTTGCCGTCTCGTCCCACGAATTTCGTAATCGCTTATTGAGCACGCCGTGGCAGGTAGCGAACAACAGGAAGGTTGCATTCGAGGAACGAGCCACACCACATCAGATATCAGGTATTTATGCGCCCGTCTCACCCTCCAATGTCCGCCCACACCACATCGCCCACCCACACACCGGCTCTGTCCATTGCACTAGAGCAGCCAGGGTTGGAGCCACTGCCACCCAGTGGCACAACCCCACCGACCCCCCTGGCGCCCTCCTTTCGGCTCGCACCCTGCCAAGCGAGCCTGCCACCCTCACCCTGCCTGGACACGCACGCATTATGACGGCGTCACGCAATCTTCAGGAATCCTAATGGCCTGCTGCGTGTGTATGCAGTGGGAACGAAGGTCGCCTCTACCGGCCGAGACCGACGCCGAGCAGCAGGGTCGGTTAAGCTGGTACCTTTTATCTGGCAGCCCGGCCAAGTCGCCACGCCTAGAACCTGCCGCTGGCCAAACTGGGCAAGCTCTTGCAGGCGCCGTTGGATAGAATGCGACCCCACCTTGCACACCGGTGTTTTCACCAATCTGGAAGCGAGATTTGCTGTGCAGACTTGATACGACAGCGCTCCATCCGTTGTCTGTGGTGTTCGCGGGGAGCAGGCGGCCTCATAAAACGTCGGCTCATATGCAACTTGACATCGGACTTTGGGCGAGGGCTGGGGACGTTGAGTCACTATCCGATGATCCGGCCAGCGATACATGCCGCATGAGCCCACGTCGTCATAAGTGGTTTTAAATATATTTCGTCATGCATTCGTATGCTGCGGTAGTGCCCGACTCCCGGCCACTGATAAGCTATACGTCGCCAATGCGCATGATTTGGCCACTGCACATGGCTCGTTTCCTATCCGCATGTCGTGGCTTGATTCACTGAAGAGCCCTTTTGTGGTGTTCGTAATTGTAAAAAGCCGCAATTGCTTTCCCGCTAGGATTACGTTTCTACAAAGGTAAAGACAGTGAGTGGCATACAACTATCTCATAAATCGATGCGACTCTGTAATAGAAAATTGCTCTGTTGCTGTTTTTAGACGTTTCAAGTGCCTTTTCACCGATTAAATTGTTGACATAAAGTTGCCGAGGCTGGAACTTTCGGAACGGTTTATGGCTCAACCACTTACAATGCCTGCTTTGTGAGTTTCCATACATTAACCTGTGTCCAGGTTTATAGTAATCGTGTTTTCTGACGTGGAAACCACAAATTCTAGCAGAAAGTGAAATATTTCCCTCATTGTAAAAACCCCAATGTAAAGTTGCGCTCTAATCAGTTTCGATACTCGTAACATTAAACTCAATAGCTCAAGTTCAAATAAAAGAAATACCTATCTGGTGCATCAAAGAGATCCGTTCTCTCCAGAATCTGCCATCCCTTAACAACAGGCATTGCGTAGCGCTAACTCCGACTTGCTTTCCCATCGCCACCCTCACTCGCCTGGCCAGCACCCTCCTCTCCCTTGCGCTTCCCGTCCCCAATCTCCATGGCCCCCACGGCAGCAGCCGCCCCGTCCGCGGCTCCGGCCTCCTCCTCCACCTCGAGCGCCTTGGCCTGGTCCAGGAAGTAGTCGACGACGGCCCTGTGGTCGTTGAGGCCCGCGAGGTCGAGCGGAACGTAGTTCTTATCGTTAGCCAGCGCCGGCGCCGCGCCCTCGGTCACCAGGGTTTTGACCACTTCGAGGTGCCCACCCATGGCCGCCCAGTGCAGGCCTGTATTGCCGTACTCGTTGCCGGCGTCCAGGTACGCCTTTTTGTCCTCGGGTTTCGGCAGCGATGCCAGGTGCGTGCAGATGGACTTGACGATATCTGCAGGTGAGAGTTTTAGTTCTCTCCCGTGTCCGAGAATGAAGAGCCGAAAAGGAAATCTAGGGCAAAAAAACCCCCACCTAGATGGCCGTTGCCCGTTGCCATGTGCAGGCACGTCGACTTGCCCTCATCCTTGGCGAGCACGAGCACCTCCCCCGCCGAGACGCCCTCCCTGGCCGCTATTGTCGAGAGCAGCTCCGTCAGGTCTGCGCCTTCGCCGGCCCGTGCAAAGTAGATGAGATCATCAATCTCCTCCTCGCTCAGCTTTGGAGCCATGGCTTTTTTTCTTGACTAAGATCGCGGCCTGTGAAATTTTCTTCACTGCGCGATGTGAGCGATGAGTGAGGGACGCTCCAAACTCCACTGATTCTGATTGGGCAATCCATAAGAAAATTTCGCGACCAGCCCACGGCGCACAGTACCGACGCCATCCTCCACACTGTCCCCGCAACGACCATCCCCTTTCCGTCAAAGAGTTCTGGCAGAGTATACGGCTGGCATAACCAAATATGAGTTGGTGCTGTTTAGCCAAGAGTATATGCAACTCTAAAAGCCTCTCCTGCGAAGCTAGGTGCTTTACTGTTTACTCCTTCAAAAGTTTCCAAAGTCTTTCACAATTTGTTAGTTCTCGTTCACAGCATGTAGGCTATAAGGACAATTGGAGCATGCTTCTAATACATATGAAATGAAATTATGGTTAGAGTTACTAAAACTAGGCAGCTATCTCAGCCCGATAAACGCCTTTTGGGGTTGGTTTGTCATTATAGTAGCAACATGTCAGAAACCCGGTATCAGCGTGATAAAAGTCCATAATCTCTTCTCGCCGTCGAAAATGAAAACACAAGACAAAACGCAATGGGTAGCCTGAGTCCCAGTCTTCATGTGCGTTGAGATGCTATTCACTATTCCATGCAAAGTTTACTGTCAAGCCATGTAGTAATATCACCGAGATTGTCCACGGCCTGTATTTCGGCCTTCACGTTAAGCATGAGCATGACCTGAAGCTCACCGAGATAGTGGCCATCTTCGTCATTCTCATTAGCTGGAAGGCTGCGAAGGGTCTCCAGGGCAACCTTTCGGTCTCGGTTGCTGAGTGATGCCGTGTTCGCCTCAAAAGCGCTCTGTCTTGATACTGCCGACCGTGTTCTGCTTGATGGCTGTGAGGGGAGTGTATCGGGTATCTGACTATCCTGTCCCTGACTTGAGTGGGGGTGAGTAGACGCTTGCGTTTGAGAAGTCGAGTCGGCGATGTCCTCCTGTATCCCGACGTGATAGCTGCGGATGTCAGCTAGTCTGATTCCCAGCCAGTGTATGGTGCTGACGGTGCAGTCGCGCTCGTGCTGGAGGTTTGCGCTGCCTCTTTGATAGTTTCTGAGGATCCGGATACCATATGGATCGTAGTCTACCAGACCGTATACCGGGATGTACGGCCGCGACTGGTGAAGGCTGAAAAGAAATCTCCGGGTGCACAGGTCTGGATAGCCCTTCCCCTGTTACAGGGCCGTGCTGGGTCAGCGACTGTTGTTTCTTGCTAGCACCGTAGCAGCACATACTGTAATCAGGACTCCAGGGCCTGCGGGAGACCTCTTCTAGAAGTCCGAGGCTGCCAGGGTCCTGAAAGTTGCCTGGGGGAGCCCATGTCAGTCGGGTTGTACCGGGCCGTACTGCTTTAAGCATCACTGCCAGGTCTTACCTCTTTCTCAATGACGAGGATCCATTGTGCTCTTGACCACTCGACATGGCGTAGTCTGTCGGGTGTGGGTATCAACGTAGCCTACCCATTGTCAGCGAGGGGACAGATACGGGGGATCTGGACCGTGGTCTCGAGAGGCTCGTACGTCATCGCAAGGCAGGATTGAACCGTCGTCATCCAACGTGAGGGAGATCGGGCCAGCCACGAGGCCCTTTCCGGCTGCAGCCTGTCCGAGATCACGCTGTCAGTGTGGGCGCTAGATGGCAAAGACGCGATGACTCCTCACGATATTCAGGGCATGGCGCCCCACACCCAGAGTCAAGGCGATGTTGTCGACAAGTGCATCAACAGTACGCTGGTCACGGAACAATTGCTTGTCTTGGTAAAAAATGTTCCTTTAGGCTTCTTAGAATTTACTGTCCTCACGCAGATTTCTTCGGGGTTTCTGGTGTCTCCCGGCTGTTGCTAGGCAAAAGGGAGCACACCTCTTGGTGACAAGCTTGCCAGTCAGGAGCGCTTCGTGCGCAATCTCTAGGATACGAATGACCGCGGCTAAAAGGCGTCAACTCATGAGAAATCTAGTCATGCCCGGGTTGAAAGATTCCAAAGGGAAATACGTGAGAACCAACCAAAAATCCTGCTCTCGTGTGCTGTCCTGCCTGGAAAGGAGACTTGGTTGCTAGAGGTGGAGCTGCTACCCCTAGATCTACGTAGCGGAAGGGACAATTGGGTTCCTTGTTCAACTGCAACGATGACGGCTTCGAATATCTCTTCGATTTGTGCAATCACGGCCGATGGCTGGTTCCTTTCGTTGTCTGATTGGCTGCTGGCAGCACTGGCACTTGGGTGGTCGGAAGATGGGACAGTAGGTAGCACGCTTGTGTCAGCTGTCACCGAGTTTGTGGCACTGGCGTTGCTCGTGGTAGAACTCGCGGACCGTACGAGAGACGAGATTTGCGGGGGCCTGGCCACGGACGACGCGCCCTCGTCTAGAACAGTGCCATGAGATTCCCCCAAAGATTCGTCGATCGGGGATCTGGGCCGCAGGCTTCGGCTCCGCAGGCGGACGGTGGAGATGTTTGGCATGTCGTAGATGTCCGAGTTGACATCAGCGGAACGGGGAAGGAAATAGCGAGTACGAATACAAATACCGCCGCGATGATTGAGCTTGGTGGTGTCCGGACGGCATGCGAGGTAATCTGATTAGATGAAGCCACAGCCCTCGAATCCGGACTTTTGAGGGCCTGTAACATCAGCCTGGGAAGGCACTCGGGAGGCCGCGGGCACTTGCCCGCAGTCAAGGGGATTTCCCACCGGGTAATTCGGTAATTCCGACCTGCCTGCTGACTCCACCCTTTCGCAGCTGGCGGTGGAATTGACCAATCACTGCTCGCCCAGTCAATCGGGTTCTTGCTGGAGGCCGGCTTGGCTCGTGGTGCCATCCACCTCAGCCATCTGAAGATCAGTCCAGGGGTTGACCGCCTGTCACTGGTGCAGCCGCTGGTGCATGTGAAGCTGAGCTCAGCGGGGGGTCCCTAATTTTCACGATAAAACCAATTGGCACGACCATGGTTGCTGCCGCTCACACCCTTTTGTCTGTGTGACTTCCTGACATCGGCCGGTGATCCTACAGCACGAAAGCCAAAGATGGGAGAAGCTAAGGCGAGCGGGATTGCCCGCAACGGCAACACCGACGGTAGCAAGGCCAGCGCACGCGCGACCAACGGGGTATCAAAAAGGCGATCAGGCGACGCTAACGTGCCAGACGAGTCCAACAAGCGCCCCAGGATTGCTGAGAAAACCGACCGCACCAGATGGCGCATGAAGGCCGACGAGGGCCGCCATACGTGGCACTACCTCGAGGATGACGAGCAGGTCGAGGTCTCGCCCCAGACATATGCCGACAAATACTACTTGGGGCTCCCGCTGGTTAGTGTCGTCTCCCTTCTTATGCAGCACTTCCAAAAGACCCTCAACTCACTTCCATCCGTCCATCCAGGAACTGCCCGACCTTCCAAAGCCCAAGAAGCCGATCGACGCCGTCCACAATGGCCTTGACTTCCTCGAGAAACTCCAGCTCCCTCCCGGACAATGGGGCTGCGAGTATGGAGGTCCCATGTTCCTCCTGCCAGGTGTCGTAATCACCTGGTACGTTACCAAGACGCCGATCCCATGGACCTACGCCACCGAGATCAAGAACTACCTCTTTGCACGCGCCCATCCCGAGGACGGCGGCTGGGGCCTGCACATCGAGGGCGAGAGCTCTGTCTTTGGCACTGCCATGAACTATACTGTGCTGAGGATCGTGGGCGTTGAGGCCGACCACCCCGTCATGGTCAAGGCCCGAGCGGCGCTTCACAAGCTGGGTGGCGCATCCCACTCCCCGCACTGGGCCAAGTTCTGGCTATCTCTCCTCGGCGTTTGCCAGTGGGATATCGTGAACCCGTGCAACCCGGAGCTGTGGCTGCTTCCGGACTGGGTTCCGATCGCGCCCTGGCGCTGGTGGATCCATATCCGCCAAGTTTACCTTCCCATGTCGTATATTTGGTCAAAACGCTGGCAAGGCGAGATCACTGATCTTGTTAAGGAGCTGAGGCAGGAACTCTTTGTTGAGCCTTACGAATCTATAGTCTGGGGCTCACATAGGAACTCCATTGCTGACTGTGACAACTACCACCCCAAGTCGTGGCTGCTGAACACGGCCAACTGGTTTCTCGTCAACATCTGGAATCCCTACTTGCGCACAAAATCCTTGGTCGACAAGGCTGAGGCCTGGGCGAGTCGCCTGATCGACATGGAGGATGAGAATACAGACTACGCCTGCCTGGCACCTGCTAACGCGCCGATGAACATGGTGTGCTGCTACATTCGCGACGGACCGGACTCATACTCTGTCAGGCGACATCGCGAGAGGATGGAGGAGTTCCTGTGGATCAACGCAGAAGGCATGATGGTCAACGGCACCAATGGGGTCCAGTGCTGGGATACGGCGTTTGCCATCCAGGCCGTCATGGATGCCGGCCTGACGGACCATCCCCGCTGGCGTCCCATGCTCACCAAGGCGCTTGAGTTTCTCGACGATCAACAAATCCGGGAAGACGCCAAGTATACGATCGAGGGCTACCGTCAGAAACGCAAGGGCGCGTGGGCTTTCAGCAACAAGGACCAGGGTTACGCCGTCAGCGACTGCATTTCGGAGGCGCTGAAGTCGGTCATACTGCTGCAGAAGACTCCTGGTTACCCGCAGCTTATCGACGACCAAAGGATCTTTGACGCCATCGACACGCTGCTCACGTACCAGTCGCCCAACGGAGGGTGCGCATCGTACGAGCCACCGCGGGGCAGCGAGCTCATGGAGATGCTCAATGCCGCCGAGGTGTTTGGGCGCATCATGGTCGAGTACAACTACCCCGAGTGCACGACCGCCTGTGTCACCGCCCTGTCGCTCTTCCACAAACATTGGCCGGGCTACCGATCGAGGGAGGTCACCGAGTTTATCCACAAGTCCGTGTCCTGGGTCAAGACGGATCAGCGGCCAGACGGCAGCTGGTATGGGAGCTGGGGCATCTGCTTCACATACGCCGGAATGTTCGCCCTGGAAAGCCTGGCGAGCATTGGTGAGACGTACAAGAACAGCAGGAACTCCAAGATGGGATGCGATTTCCTCGCCTCCAAGCAACGCGAAGACGGCGGATGGTCTGAGAGCTACAAGGTACTTTTCATCTAGTTTCTCTGGTTCCGATTGGTGGCGTGTTGCACCTCTAACTCTTATTTCCAACTCTGCACAGGCATGCGAACAATCCAAATACATCGAGCATCCTACGGGCTCTCTTGTGGTCCAGACGGCATGGGCCCTGATTGGACTTATGAAGGGCGAGTACCCGCACATTGAGCCGATCAGGAAAGGCATTAAGTTCATCATGGGGCGCCAGCAACCCAACGGAGAATGGGTCCAAGAGGCCATCGAGGGCGTGTTCAACAAGAGCTGCATGATCTCGTACCCCAACTACAAGTTGGTTTTCACGTTGAAGGCGCTGGGCATGTTTGCCAAGAAGTACCCTAATGAGAAGGTTCTGTGAACGGGAGGAAGGGCCGAGTTCAGAGCTGTGCCGGTTCAAGGCTGGGTCTATTCAGCGATTATTACTTGTTAGTCCTAATAACACCTTGTCAAACTAGAGGCAAAGAGTGTTATTTCTAGTCCAAAGGGGGTGTGTTTTACGAATGTGCTTACCCGAAGGTTTGCGCAAGTGCTTCGATGGGCGGGAAACTGAGTTATTTGCCCCACGTGATTCGCTGTCCTGTGCTGCCCGTGCTGATGGGGAGCTTCCAACAGCTTCCATGGCCACCACGTCACCGGGCGTAAAAGAAACAGCCTCGCAACTTCTAGGCGGAGTAGCGGTCCGGCTTCCATTGAATAAGACGACAAACCCTTTGTGCTGAACAATAAGATTGTAATCATTGTCACGCCTCTATCTTCGATTCCAATCCATGCGTGTGCCTTAAAAAGCAGGTGTACTTGCTAAGTCGGGCGAGACGTGTGGGTTGGAATTCTATCACGCCCCTCACCAAAACGCCCACTGTACAAGCAGCGCAACAGTGGACATTCGAACACCAAGCTCTCGGCCCATTAACAGCCTGTGCGGCGGTAGACTTTGCGCAACAGTGAAACAAGCACAGCAGAAGCTCGCTCGCCCGCCATGTCGGAAATCACAAACGGCCACAAGGGCATGGAGCTCGTCAAGGAGGGCAAATGGGACGAGGCCGTGACGTATCTCACCAGGGCCATCAAGGTGCGGCCGTCGCCGGCGTGGCTGCTCGCGCGCGCGCAGGCGTACCAGCAAAAGGGCGAGCTGGACCGGGCGCTCGTCGACTGCGAGCACGCCTACGTCGAGGCGACGCAGCGCCAGTCCGGGCGCGAGCAGAACATGCGCGAGGCGCAGTACCGGCGGGGGGTGATCGCCTTCCGCCAGGGCCGCCTCGCCGACGCCGACGCCTGCTGCTCGTGGGCCATGCGCCTCGCCCTCGGTCACCCGGCCCGCGAGCAGCCCGACCCCGTGGCGGCGCGGGCGGTGGGGCCCGATGGCGTCTACGAGGTCACGCCGGCCGATGCCGAGGCGGACGGCAGGGAGGCCGTGGAGATTGACAACGCCGGCGGCGACGGCAAGAACCTCGCGTCGGCATCCAAGAAGAAGGAGTGGGTCCGCCCGCACTCGTTCCGCGTCGTCGTGCTTGGCCACATGCAGAAGCTGCCCGCCGACGCGCCGGGTCGCAGGCTCACAGTCACGCGCGAGCCCAAGCCGCCCGCGCTCGTCGACGGGGAGTACAAACCGGAGCAGACCGCGGCGGCGTCCTCGGCGACCCCGTCCGCCAAGACGGCACCGGCCGCGGCAGCGCCTGCCACTGCAGCGGCGGGGGCGGTCCCCAAGGAGCAGAAGCTCCGGATCGACCACTTCCAGAACAAGGAGGTCGTCACGCTCTCCATCTTCGTCAAGGGCGCCGACAAGGATAGGGTCGCGGTCGAGCGCGCCGGTGGCGACATCGTCGTCGTGCGCAACATCCCCAGGCAGTCGAACCCGGACCTGGTGCTGAAGCTGAGCCACGCCATCTCGGCGGCCGGCGAGATCAAGCACAAGGTGTTTGGCACCAAGATCGAGCTCACGCTGCTCAACGGCACGCCCGGTCAGAAGTGGACCTCTTGGGGCTCCGAGCTGATGGGGCCCGACGCGGCCGCCGCGCTGTCCGCCGCCGCCTCGAGCGCCCGTGTTCCTGCTACCTCGGACACGCCGACGGCGGCAGCAGCGGCACCGGCAGCAGCACCACCAGCGGTGGACAAGCCGCCGGCGTACCCGACCAGCGCCAAGGGCGGACCCAAGGACTGGGAGAAGGTGGGCGGCGATGATGCGGACGAGGACAAGGAGCAGGACGTCGACGCCTTCTTCAAGACGCTCTACCAGAACGCGGCGCCCGAGGCCCGCCGCGCCATGATGAAGAGCTACGTCGAGAGCAACGGCACCCACCTGAGCACCGACTGGGCCGGCGTCAAGGACGGCAAGGTGCCCACGCACCCACCCGACGGAGCCGAGGTGAAGAAGTGGTGATTAGGGGGAGGGGAGAAACAGTGATGGAGGGCTAGGGCGATGATTGGCTTGGGGCTGAGCGTTGAATTTACCCGGCTGTTCTTGCTTTTTACATCTTTTTCGCTTTTCGCGAAACAAAAGAATGTGGCCCCTTGTCATGGAGGGTGCTTTACATGGAGCTCCGGCTGCAATATCGCAATGGTCTCTACTTATTAATTCGTAGAAATGCACCGAAAAATAACAGACTGTTTTATGTCAATGATGCGACATATGACCTGCCTAGCCTTGACCGGTCACTGGACACGAGCAGCAGCTCACGCGGTATGAATTTGAGGTAGATGCGGTTGTTGATATTATCCCTACGGATTCCGTGGTATCTAGTCTATTAGTCTATTGTCTATGCGTATTATTAGGTATTCGTCGCCGTTAAGAAGCGTCAAGTCCGACGGGTTTTCTTGCTCGCGGATCCATTAGGTATAAGCCTGGCCGTCTCTCCTGCCCTTGATGCCGCCCCTCCTCCACGAGCCCCTTTCTGGTCGGGCAGCTCGACGACGCTCATGTCCATCCTCACGCGGAAGCTCTGGCCCCTCCAAGTGACGGTGCCGCCGAGCAGGACGGCCCAGGTCCAGATGGGCAGCGCGAGTAGCTCGCGGCCGACCCAGGCCAGCAGCCAGGCGGGGAAGGAGCGCATGGCCGGGCCGCCGGGCCGCCCTGCGCCGCGCGCAAAGTCGGGGGAGTCCGAGTCGGTCTCGACGCTGCGGCAGGCGTGCAGCAGGCGGTAGACGGCGCGGTCGAGGACGACCCAGCATGTGATGGCGGCAGCAAAGACCTGCGCATAAGCGGTCCAGGTGCGCGGCACGGGCCAGTCGGCGCCGGCCCAGGGGGCGGTGGTGACGGCGAAGGCGAAGGCCATGCAGCAGACCAACGACTCGACGCCCGGCTCGACCAGGGTGGCGGCGATGACAGTCCACTTGCGGACGCGTAGCCAGCGGACGCGGCGGGCAATGTAGGATGTGACGGTGTTGGACCGCATGGGCTGCAGGGCCAGCTCGCCGTGGACAAGGCCGTGGCGGGCGTGGCCCGGCACCTCGGACCGCCAGAGGAGATCGCCGATCAGGTGGTCCTCGCAGATGTACGAGGAGAAGAAGTCGATGCCGCGACCCCTGCTGGCGTCCTCGGGGGTTAGGATCGGGTTCTGGGCCGGGTCGGTGAGGCGGTCGATGTGCGACTTGCGGAACATGTTGCTCTTGCCGCAGATGCAGGGCGCCACGCCGACCGTGTTGATGGCGCTGTAGAACTTTGCGTGCGTCGATGCCATGAACATCTCGTCGAGGCGCCCGCCGCCGTACGCCATCATGCCCATGGCCGCAGCTTCGTCGGCGGGCGTCACGTCGACCGAGACGGGCAGCTGGTGCACGAACTTGTAGGGGGTGGGCGGCGTGCCGCGGCTGCCGGCGGGCGCCAGACCGAGGAGCTTGTCAACCATGCGGCCGGCGGCGCGCTTGGAAACCCAGATGTTGCAGTCGACGACCCATATTATGTCGCCCTTCGCCTCGCGGTAGGCGCGGCTGATGTTGCGGACCTTGGGGTTCGGCCCCAGGTTGCGCGCGTCGCCGCCCGCTCCGTGGAGGAAGGGGTCTTCTGACTCGAGGAGGATCTGGATGTCGAGCTCGGTCGAGGCAAAGTCGGCGACGATGCGCTCGAGGGTCGCGTAGCCTGCGTCGTCCTTGGACGAAATGCAGAGGCGGATGCTGAGCTTGTCCCTCGGGTATGACTGTAGACAACTCGAGGCAAGGCATTCGTACATCCGGGGTTCGAGGCCCTTGACCGGCCTGATTATGGTGATGTGAGGCACATCTTTGGGGTCGAGGGAGGGCGACACGGGCGGCGGCGGCGGCCTGGAGTTGTTGCGGAATCTAGAGGCGAGGCGCAAGTGTTAGGTTTGGCTAGGGTGTTGGCATATGCGCCGGATCACGCCAACTTACAGCTGGAACGACCCGATGCCCTGGACGGTAAAGACGACTGCGGACCAGACGGCACCGGCATATGCCAGCCCATCGACGAGCGACTGCATTTGCTGGCCGCTGTGACGCTCCGCGAACAGACAGGTGACGGCTCTGAGGGCGCTCCACCAAGGGCGTAATAAAGACAAGAAGCAAATAGGTCAAACCAAAAAGAAATTTTGTGACGGTGTCAAGACCAGGTCCTTTCTGTTACCTAGGTATTTTCTGCTTGGTCACCAGGTGTCACCTTTCTGCGCCGATCAACTTGCGACCCCATCAGCGCCCAAGGCGGTGACGCTTGTCAACCGAGTCGAGTGCGAGTGCGAGTGCGCCAGGCGACGGCACAGCGCCAATTCAGGGATTCTCCGCCTGACTGTAAATTGCTTCTTCGTCTGCTCGGGTTCTGCCCTGTCGTCCCGACGCCTGGGATTCGACTGCTAGCTTCGATCGCGACAGCTCCATCATTACGTTCGCTGGCAGTTCTGACTGGTGGACCCCGCTGTCGTTCGTGGCCGACGGTTGGCTCATGCTATTTCAATTTTGGGCTCAGCGTCCTGTCGCTGTATCCCATTGCAGTGGGAGTGGAGACGCTGAATTCCCAGGCTCTGGTTGTGATCTCGGCTCAGACCGAGCGCCGAATCAGCTACAAATTGAATCAGCTGCAAGCTCCAAAACCTGCCCGACGACTCACTCGCGCTGGATTGCTGATTACCCAATCAGAGTTGGACGTGCCGAGATTTTCCGAAGAGGGCCCGCCAGAGGGTCCACGGGCAGCACAGACAGCACCGACCCATTGAAAAGGTGAAGAAAAAAATCACAAGCAGAAAATTTCCATCCATTGACTCAACAGCTTCATGAGATGCTTCCTGCCCAGACCTGACCTTGCCTTTGTGTCTGCCAGCTCCTGTCGGCCTGGCCGCCACGCCCAGTGGTCGTGAATGGCAGCTTCTCCACGGCCTCAGCCAGCACCACAGGAGGAATATCCCTCAGTCCAACAGTAAGTCGTCGAGCGCTTCCGTTTGCCGTTTGTTGCCGCCCATCATCACCCCATCCTCGCATCGCCTCCATTCTGCTCGTTCACACCTGACGCCCGCCTCTCTTTCGGGCTTGGTCTTGCCAGGCTACCTAGACTGGCGGAATTCCAAGTCACGGGTTCCTGCCGGGTGGAAGGATATGCAGCCCGTGAGGGACCGAGACTGGGCAGTCTTTTCTCCCCATCCCCCGCCCATGCCCTCGATCGCGGTGATGATTCACACACATGTTGCTGAGGGGCCTACTTAGTAGCCCTCGCTGAGTGCTTCATTATAGACTATAACGGTATCTGAGCGACTACACACATCTTGCCCATTTCTCACTGCCCCTCCTCTCGTCACACTTCCACCATCGGATCTGCCCGTCCACTTGGAAACTCGGAAGACTCACCCTCTCCTTCGTCTAGTGTCGAGATGCTGAACGACGAAAATGGCTGAGCCCAGCACCTCCAGTTCGACCGCCAGTCAGCCAGTCGCTGGACACACTCCCCCCAAAAAGAAGATCCCATTACATCAGCTTTATGCTCTTCCGGCCCCGATCCGGACGTTTCCGCTCCCGAGCTTCTACCCGAGCAACCCGCTCTCGCTCGTCCATGTAGTCTACGCATGGCTCAGCCAGACGGTATTCTCGAAACCCCCCAATGAGCCGTCCACGACGCATCGTGGCGCCTGGTCGCCGGAGACCAGGTCTGTTCATATAACGGACCCGGCATCTATCCGGGCTCTTTGGGAGCAGGGTTTCTTCGGCAAGGGACATCTAAGCCGCAGCGAGCCAAACTGGCTGAAGCGCGAAAAGGACCGGCGCGGGCTCGGTGCCGGCAAGGTTGCTGAGCAACTCACCAGCAAGAGGAGAGAAGAGCGTCAGCGAGCCAAGTGGGAGCGCGCCAGGATCGAGCAAGAGGCTATTGAGCGCACTCGTCTCGAAGAGACCCGAGCGGGAGCCCATGCCAATGATGGGAAGACCCCACCGAACTTTGCAGTACTGCCCTCACTCATGGTCAGGGTAACAGCGCCAGTCATGTCAAAACCGACAAGCACCATCACCTCGCCTGTTGGTCCCCTAGACCTGCTTCGACTGCCGAACTCGGCAGCTGATTTGCTATCCGCCCACGCCTTGAACTGTTCGGCGCATGGTGTTGCGCTGGATGCAATGGTCGGTGGCAACATCAATGATACCACGCATCTTGCGGATGGGAACTATGGCGCCAATGGAAGCGCCTCCGCTGCGGTTACAAAGGCCGACACCCCTCCCACGTCGCTCAAAACACAGAAGAACGTCAGGTTTTCTCCTGATGTCAAATCGGCTACATTCGAGCTGCATGATCCGCCGAGTCCAATCAATTCCCTGTCACAGTCGACAACGGACCTGCTCATCAAGTTGCCGTCAGAACCTTTGGATACTCCCGTCGTTGCGCTGGACACACCTCAGCCTGAAGAAATTGCGGACCGCGAGCACCTCCAGCTTAGCGCGCAAGAGGCATTTTTCCTGGTTTTCGCGATTGGTGCACTGGCTGTGGTTGATCCAAAGACGGAGTCAACGCTGTCCACGGTAGAGCTCCTACATCTGTTTGGTGATCACTCCTTTTTTCCGCCGAGGACCTCGAGTCTAGACTCCCCTGGCTTTCGGACCGACGACCCCTTCCTGGTCCATTACGTAGTATACCACCACTTCCGGTCACTGGGATGGGTCCCGAGGGAAGGCGTGAAGTTCGGGGTGGACTGGCTGTTATACCGGCGAGGCCCAGTGTTTGATCACGCCGAGTTCGGGCTGCTGGTGATACCGTCATACTCGAATCCCGCGTGGACGGGGCTGGAGCGCAAGGCACCGCAGCGGCAGCCGTCCTGGCATTGGCTGCATGGTGTTCAGCGTGTTCTATCGCACGTGCTCAAAAGCATGGTGCTAGTCTATGTGGACATTCCGCCGCCGTCGGCCATCGGCAGCGTCTCGGATGTCGAAAGTGGCATTTCGGGGCTGCTGAAGCAATACCGGGTGCGCGAGGTCATGGTCAGGCGCTGGTCAAGCAACCGCAACAGGTGACCTGTGGATGCTACAGACGATGCACACGTCAGCTCGCCCCGTCGAATCGAAGGCGCAGTCGCGTCTACATGGCGGATGTGGACACAAATATACGATTATAGACAAAAAAGCGAAGTGATAAATATCAAAAGTTTCAAGATTTGGGCTCGCAACATGCGCTTTGATGGCAATGGCACTGGAAGAATCGCGTCGACTCGCGGCGGGTACCTGAGGAGATAAGGTTATTAATAGGCGTTGAAGTCAAAGTGCTCTGGGGAAGTGTGCGGGCCGTGCGGGCCGTGTCGAGTTTGAAACATTTCCCTGTTAAGCATCAAATGTTACCTTGGCGGCGGGTTCGCTCGTGGACTAGTCACAAGCGACGGAAGCGGGGGACATGTGGGAATGGAAACAAAAGCGCGAGATTTTGTCTACATCTTGCCCAAATATCTGTCTACCCGGGCAGATCTATACCTCTCCAGGTCACTCGAGCCGAAACACAAACACAACACAACACAGCACATAGACAAAACACATACACGATGCAGCCGCACAACAGGTGTCACTGGCTCCTAGCCGCCGCCGTCGCAACCCTCGTGTCCCATGCGGCGGCCCAGGCCAACGGGCCGTGCGACGGGCGGACGCCGGCCTTCATCCTGGCGGGCGACTCGACGACGGCGGTGCAGTCGGCGCTCGGGGGCGGCTGGGGCACGGGGTTCCTGTCCTTCCTCAAGCCGCCCGGCTGGGGGTCCAACCACGGGCGCAACGGGGCCACGACGGCGTCGTTTGTCGACGACGGCGAGTGGGAACGCGTCATCCAGCAGGTCAAGGACTCCAAGGCTGCGTACGACTGTATTGTGACGATTCAGGTTGGTTTTTTTTCTTTCTATTTCTTCTCTTTCTTTGGGCGGGTATGATTTTTGCTAACGGAGCATATACAATGGTAGTTCGGACACAACGACCAGATACCATCAAGGGGCGTAAGCCAGCAGCAGTACCGAGATAACCTCGAGAACTTTGCCCAGCAGGTCAAGGATGCAGGCGGAACGCCAGTAAGTCTTTTCTCGCTCATGATCTGTACTTGCTTGTAACCAACCCCCCGTCTAACCACCAACCCCAGATCATCCTCTCCCCCCCTGGCCCGCCGCGTGTTCGCCTCGGAGCACGAAGCCACCGACACGCTCGCCAACGAGCGGCGGCTGTCCATGGCAGCGGCGGCGGCGACGCAGACGCGGTTCCTGGACCTCAACGCCGCCAGCATGGCCTACATCGAGGCCATCGGTGCCACGGCCGCGCACCGCCTTGACTCCAAGCCCGGCGACACCGAGCATGTCGGCGACCACGGCAGCGTCGTCTTTGGCCGCATGGTCGCCGACCTCCTGCTCGGCCACGAGGCCGTCGTCGGCGGCGCGTCGGCGGCCGAGGACGAAGACGACGACAACTCGTTTGCGACCTACGATGATGACGCCTACGGCGGCGTGCTGGTCAAGCAGTCGCCCGACCTGCAGGGCGTCGACGGCGGCTTCGACGGGCCGGCGCCGCTGCCCGAGTGTTTGAAGCAGTGGTTCAATGAGGACAAGGAGCTTAGCGACAAGATATGGTCGGGGATCGAAGCGTGAGATGGAGGTGCTTGTTTTCTGTTTCTTGTTTATAGTGGAATTTTGGTTCCACACATATATACCTGGATATATATATATATATATATATATATATATAGATAT